GGAGTGACGAATCGCGCTTCTCCATCTGGCAATCTGATGGACGGGTCTGGGTTTGGCGGTTGCCAGGAGAACGGTACTTGTCTGACTGCATTGTGCCAAGTGTAAAGTTTGGTGGAGGGGGGATTATGGTGTGGGGTTGTTTTTCAGGAGCTGGGCTTGGCCCCTTAGTTCCAGTGAAAGGAACTCTGAATGCTTCAGCATCCCAAGACATTTTGGACAATTCCATGCTCCCAACTTTGTGGGAACAGTTTGGAGCTGGCCCCTTCCTCTTCCAACATGACTGTGCACCAGTGCACAAAGCAAGGTCCATAAAGACATGGATGACAGAGTCTGGTGTGGATGAACTTGACTGGCCTGCACAGAGTCCTGACCTCAACCCGATAGAACACCTTTGGGATGAATTAGAGCGGAGACTGAGAGCCAGGCCTTCTCGTCCAACATCAGTGTGCAACCTCACAAATGCGCTTCTGGAAGAATGGTCAAAAATTCCCATAAACACACTCCTAAACCTTGTGGACAGCCTTCCCAGAAGAGTTGAAGCTGTTCTAGCTGCAAAGGGTGGACCGACGTCATATTGAACCCTATGGATTAGGAACGGGATGTCACTTAAGCTCATATGTGAGTCAAGGCAGGTGAGCAAATACTTTTGGCAATATAGTGTATATGTGATATACCAGCACAGAGGGAAACATGACACATGTCACTTTTACAAATTAAAATACACTTTTAATAAATAAAAAAGTAGAGTTATGTATTTGTATCTCTGAAACCTCCAAATAAGATTCAGTACTAGCAACTGCCAAGAGATCTCCCCTACTTAGTATGCAGTTTGTAAAATGCAGTTTCATACAGTATCAGTGAATAAAATCAGCCGAACTGCAAAGATGTCAAATTATTTTTCTAAGACTTTAGTGAGCAAACAGCACTGGGAAGCTGCAGGGATCCATAGCTCAGGTGGGAATGAACTTTTGACAGCAATTCTCTTAGTGTTGCACTTCATAAATTAACCATTTATGGAAGAATGGCTGGATGAAATCTTTTGTTGAAAGTCAGCCATACAGTAAAGTGTCTGCTGCAGACACTGTATGGGGCAGATCGTTTTCCGTGTGTGAGGCATAACAGCCTCCTGCTAACAGTTTATTACTGGCCCTTTCGGCAACACAGCAGATATATTCTAGACAGTCCTCAGGTGATATAAAACCAAGATTGAACTTCTTACTCTACTCTAAGAACTAACTTTGCACACCAGCATGAAAATGCATCTCCATACATGAAAGATGGCAGCTGTGGCAGCATCATGCTGTGGGAACCTGGTTAGAGCTAATAGGATGATGGATCTGACAATAAGGAAACTTTTAGAGGCTGCAAAAGACTTAAGTCATAAGCTCACTCTCCAGTTGGATGCTGACTTTAGATACATAATAAAATTGTTTTAATTGAAGGAAATGTATGTTTTATGTCTTAAAAGTCCACGATTTTAAGAATTTACCACAAAATAACAATGCATCAGACTGGTGACCGCTTCAAAATACATTTACCTCATGTTATATTTATTAATAAATATATATATGTTTGTGTCTTTTTTTTTTTATAAATTTGTTCTTTGAAAATGAAAACTTAATTACTTAATTCATACATTTAACTGTATCCCCACTTTGGGAACCTCTTTCCTGTGACTGGTTTTAATTCAGAAATGGTTCTACAAATATCACCGCCCAAGCTGCTCCAACACCATATTCTAAAATGATTCCTGGTAGAATTAGAGTTGTTGTAAGTCAGGCTGGAGAAGAGTGATTAGATCCAAACACAATCAAATCATGACACCAGCTTGTCATTAAAAGGAGATAAACATTGTGCACCAGGCTGCACACACTGTGTCTCATCAATTAATGGGGATGATTTGTCATTGGTTAATTACACTATGGATGAAAATCACAAAATAGATTTGAATACAAAATGACAGCAGTTGATCAGATACATAACTGGGAGATTTTCCAAATATATCAACATTTATCATTCTTTTTTGTTTTTATTTTTAGATTATTATTGTATCAAAACAAAATACTGGCCAAAAGCGAATTATTAGCTGTGAGCTGGTGAGTTTTGTTGAAACAAGCTGTATGAAAATGGCAAAGTTGTATGATAAATCATTATCTAGAGCTTTAAATATTTATGTTGAATGGTTTAAACATCTGTTTACAAAATGGTATAAAGGAGAATATCAGGCTTCCTGGCAATAGTTAGCCAGGTTTTCCCATGAGAACCTGCAGAGATCTCTGAGACAGCTGGCCAATAAAAAAAAAAAATCAACACACAAAAGAAACATAAATACAAACACGTGTTTTATAAAGATTTGAAACTAGGATTTAGACAAGGCAAAAGGACAGGCAGAAGACAGTACAAAGGCCAGCAGACACAGACAAAGATATAAACAGACAGATGGACAAACTAAGAAAGGTGATAGACACTCAGCCAGGCAGAATGTGACTGGTATTTATCCACTCTGAAGCCTCCCTGAATCATAAATCTATACCCAGTTTCCTGTCTTGAATGAAAGAAATGCCTCTCCTTTCTGTAAGACCTTTTTTTGTTGCAATGACACATTTACTGCATGTATTTCCCCCTGAAAGATTTCTTCTGTTTTTTTTGTTTTTTTTTGTCTCAATAAAATGAGTCAAACAACTTTTTAAACCAGATAATGATTTACTTTACTAAGGAATAGGGGCATAGCCAAACAATTTCCATATGGATGGTGAGCAGAGACAGAGGGTGGCTGAAATCATATAGAACCAATTCAGGGTCGGTCTACATTAATCACACTGTACATAAATGAGCACAACATCAATTTACCTTAAATAAATCACTGACGACAGATTAGACCTTGCTAATAAACATATTTACACATGATGTCTGATTAAAGGTATAGTGGAAAATAATTTTTAGGCTTTGAGTTCTGAGTCGATCATCTTATCTATTGATTGTTCCACTTGCCAATTTCTGTGACATGGACCTAACACCGATGTGTGCTCCTACTGCGCAGCTTCAGCTATTCGTTGTAGCTACACTTCACTCCCTGCATACGTTTAAAAAGGCTGAGTTGCACGAGGCAGTCTCCAGAAGAAAGCAATGAGTCCAAAGTATATCTAGGAGATTCTTTTGCACAATGGCGCATAAGAGTGTATTGTGATCTTGCATATGGGCAATCACTCAGAAAGAGAATTGGGCATTTCTTACATTTCCTGAAAAAACCTCCTCTATGCCTTTAATCAATGAAGGCTCTGTATATAATTAATATATGCATACTTAAATACATACGTTAAATGGCTTTTTTTGTTATATATCTGTAATCAGATATGAGATTTCTGAATGATTCACTGAAACACATACCTCTCTTTTCTCCCCCAAAACAAACAAAAACTAGTTCAGAAGAGTGTATAAACTCTACATTTGTCATCTTTAATGTTGGTATATTGATGTATTTTTCCTGTCCTTTCCTTGTTAATTCTGTATACTAAGAATTAAAAAAGTTAAATTAGTTAAGAATTTCCACTACTGCTGCCACCCTTTTGTTTTAGAGCTGAACTGCTTCTTGTCTTACGTCCACATGGGAACAATAAATCACCTTGTATGCCCCTGTTAAGGAAGGCTATTCAGACCTGCCATGCCCTTTGTGTACAGGTGGAAGCACCTTAGCTTAATAACTGGTTGTACCACCCTTGGCAGCAAAAACTGCTATCAAGTGTTTGTGATCACTAGTATTAGGTCTTTTACATCTAAGTTAAAATATATGGCTCTTCAGGTGTGTCTTAAATCAGCATAACAAAGGTATTCCTAGCCTTTCAGGTCATGCTGCAGACTTTTAATTAGTTTCTCAATAATCTTTGTTAAGTGCTCTTGTTGGAGCCCTTCAGCGATGGACTTTTTGATATTTTTCAGGTTATTGTGTGCTTCATAACCCAAGACTGCTTTTTATCGTGGTTTTCTGCAGAATAGTAGAATTCATGGTTCGATCAGCTTTATGATCACTAAAGCAAATGTGACAGAAACACCTTTTCTTTTCAGTCAACTGTGGTTTTCATCTTTAAACTGTCCTCGCTATCTTTGCACATCCCTTATTGATATACTGAGCACTGACCTTAACTGAAAGAAGACCTTCATTGGCAGACATCATTCTGGGTTCTTCAGTTCTTTCTGTCATAGTGGGCTTTAAAGATCTGACCCACATGCAGAGAACCACTCAGAGACTAAGGGTAAAAGTTTAACAGGTTTATTGTAGGTATGCAAACACAGATGGAGATTAAAACTCTATGTGGAAACAATGCTGGAACTCAGCGGACTGGTGAACCACAACCGGAAACTTCTTGGTTTATCCTTGAATCCAGTTTGTGGGGGTTTTATCCAGAGAAGAGGGAACTCGTTGGAGAGGGGACAGGCAGACATACATTCGACCCAGAGGAGTAAAGGAGCGGACTGTCACCTGGTTTTCCAGGGTTGGACTTGAACGGAACATGTGGAGGTTTTCCTCTTGCTCAGTGAGACTCAGTAAATCCTTCCACGGGTAGAAGGTCCATGCTTATCCAGTAATACAGGAAGTCTTCCCAATCCTGGCAAACACTCTGGCGTCGAGGTGGTGACAGCCCGCTGCTCAAGTACTCCTCTGGTAATGACCCAACGAGCCGCAGGTGTGCAGGGAGGCCCAACGAGGACAGGGCACCGCCTGGTGGTGGAGAGAGGAAAACGCAAAAAAACAACCTACACAAACTGGAATCCTAACACTTTCTGAGATATTTAGCTTCTTCCTGTTAAGTAACTTTCTTTTTCATTTAACAGGTCTGGCATTTAATCTCTCTGAGTCCTTATTCAAACCAAAAAAATTGGTTTCTCGGTTCCTTCACAATAAACCAATTAAGTTGGGTTCACTCATGGTTTCTATTTAGGGTCTTGTTTTTTTCAAAGCTTCTTCGAATCACATTTCTTTTCCCCTTGCTCTGTCCACACAGGTCTGCTCTCCGTATCCTACGACGAGTGGGACTATGGTCTGGAAGCCCGTGTTCGGGATGGTGTGGCCATCATCACCATGGCAACTTCCACGATGATGATGGACCGTGGACCTCATACGTTGCTGAAATCAGAATGCCATGGAGCTCCAGAGAAGAAAACCCCAATCTCAGGCAACCCCAATGAAGTCCTCAGGTAAGAACAAGTTGAGCTTCTAATTAACCTTTAGTTTAGCTGGAGACCTTTTTTTGGGACTCTCTAATGGAAAAACATCAGTACCATATTACAAATAAAAAAAAAAATATTAAAAACAGTCCACTGGACTTGGTTTCCAAATTTGAAGATGTTTCACTTCCCATCCAGGAAGCTTTTTCAATTCAAAATGTCAGGAATAGCATTGAGTTCGAGGTTTTATACAATAGCCCATCAAAGTCCTGTTTTTGTTTTGAAAACATGCAAATTGGAACGGACGAAGGGGTCCACCCATTTGGAATGGGGGTCGTTTGGCTTCTTTTGTTAGACTGCAATACCCAAAACCATTCCTCACTGTATATGCTTTACATACTGTAAAGTTTTGTTTTATAATTTTATGGTAAATCATTTATTTTGAAAAGTGGTACTTGTGCCTTAATATTGCAATAATTTTATTTTGTTGTATTTAATTTTCTACCATAAAACACCAGAGTTTGCACATAACTTTCTATCAAAATATATAACCCTAAGTATTCAATCAGATGTTATGAGGCAACAATTATGCAGCACATAAGCAGCCATTTTTTCAAACCCTTTTCTTATTCTTACATAAGTAAAAAAAAATTGGTATCTTACCATGGAGTGAATTATGTCCTAGTATTGTAAGTAAATATGTGTTGTACATGGAAATTTAAAAAATGAATTAATAAACGATTTCTGATAAAAATTAAATACAATCAAAAAAGACATAACTTTGCTGTTTTCCTGCGTTATATATTTTCGTGTCTTTTTCAAACTTTTTTTAAACTTTTTTCTCAGATTTCATATTCTATTTTTTCACATTTCTCTCTTTCAGATTGTGTTTTAAAATGAAAATTTGGTTGAAACGACGTTTTTAACGTCAAGCTTTCATCTAGAGTGAGGAATAAGGATCTTTGCAGAAAAAAAAAAATACACCTTTCTTCCTCCCTCAAGAGGAGAGCCCTTCTTGAGAACTCAAGAGAAATAAAATAAAAACAAAAACTTGAAAATATATATATTCTGTTTAATTTAAAAAAAAATAAAAATTCGAGAAAACAGCTATTATTATAACTCAAAACCTATTTTTCATTTCAAAGTTTTTCATAGTTCCATTTGTAATATTCACAGTAATAACAAAAAAAAAAAAAACAACTACTCCATACTCTACCCAGATAAGTTATTTCTCTGTCATTCAGTTTATTTTGTACAGTTCATCAGTAGCTTTGGAAACAAAACAGTCCCACAGCTTGATACTACCACTTCTTTGCTTGACAGTGGGTTATGTTTAGAACCTTTAAAGCCTCCGCTTGTCGTGCTGACTTTGTACCTCTATTTTCTGACTGAAAAGTATTTAAACCAACCCAAAGTGTTGTAGAGCAAGTGGCTTTTTTCTTGGTTAGGAATTAAAGCTAACTTCAGTGTGGAAATGAATGTTGTCCCAGCAGATTTTTTTTTGTTTTTGTCCTATGATTATTTCACACCTCATATACAAAAGGTTTAAATGCTTCCTCTAAGGCCAGAAATAAATCTGACATTCATCCCTTTGGTGAATATTTTTGACACTGTTGTTGAAAAAAAAAATTAAACTAATTATAACCTGTTTATCAAAAAATGTAGTTAAGAGGAATAGTGGCTGTGCTGCAGGGACAATACAATGTTTTATGCAGAAATTGAGCATCTTTAACTAAAACTAACGCAAAACACCTTCAAGTCTACAGGCAATGAATCACAGCAGGTGTCTCATTTGCATTCGTTTACACACATTAACATGACATTGATTAATTAAGGTGATATAATGCCACACGCAGCTGCTTTGAAAAGGACGGATTCAGGTTGTTCAGCATCAGTGTTTCAGTCTGCTTTGGATCAGCACATTTGGCAGAGGCAGCAGATGCTGCCACGTAATCCTTAACATGCAAAACTCCTAACCTCTGTCCAGCTTACACTTAAAGATCCCCTTGTTCTCCCAATAAAAAAAAAACAACCTAATCCCACCCCTTCAGCTATCCTTTCTAGAAGCGGGCCTTTTAAACTGGTTCTGAAGCGGGCTGTTCTGCGCTGTCTAATTGGTCCCAGTGGCGTTTCAGTCTACGAACACTATCCCCTGTTTTGTCGTGCTCCAGAGCACAGCTCGGGGCTGTATTCAGGAGTAGTTTCACCTTCCTGCCACTGTGCATGTCTGCTCATTGTGTGAGGGTTTAATACTGAGGAACAGGCTGTCAGAGAAAGAACAGGTATGTCTGTCTGTGGAGCAGGAGCAGCTCTGGCTGAGATCTGTTTGCTGTAGAGATTGTCAGAGCTTCTGTGCCGGTTGGGTTGCTGTTGTGACTAAATCACCCTCCCACTGGTGACTTTTACACATACTGCTTGGAAACACAGCTGAAGGGACACACCGGAAAGAATATTAGACCCTTAAAGATAATACTGTAGTAGCCCCTGCTCTTGGCTGGGTTTATCAAAGCTCCTTGTAAATATACCCATAACACCAAGACTTTTCACAACAGCAAACAGTGCATAATCATTAGGTGGGGGGAAATATTTAGAAATAAAACTCTTGAAAGTGTTGTTCATATCTAGATTCAGGCTAATTTAATCATTGGAAGCTGATCCTCTTGCTGTTAGATCCGGACAAGATATTTTGACTGGACTTTGTCTAACATATCGCTTCGACGTAAAACATTCCATGCAACTCTGGATGTATATTTAGGGTTGTAACACACCAGTATCAATACATTTACATCCTCTATATGTCCACATTTATCTCCACCCATCTGCACATCAGCTCACAGACAGCCTCCCTGTTCCTCTTTAAGACAAGCATCCTCTTAAGTATGATGCTGTAACTAGTACATGTCACTGTGAGGAATGGCATATTTGATTGATGTTTAGTTTTTTTTTTCTTACAGATAGTGTTTAAGATTTTTATTGGTTCTGACAAGAGCCCACCAGCCTAAAGCAAACTTTAAATGGAGCTAATGATGAATTTCCTTTAACAAAGGCTGTTTTTTTTTTTGTTTTTTGTTTTTATCGAGCTGTTCTTCTATAAAAATAAATGGCAGAATATCTCACCTAAACTTTGAATCTCTGCAGCTCCTCAAAAGTGACTCTAGCTTTTATCTGGTTAATCCTCGCCTTGTCAGGACTGTCTTAATAGGTTTGCACCTGTGCTATTTCTTCTTTCAGATGATGAACGGCACAGATTTCTGTGAGAATTGGTTTTATGGGTTTCATTTTATAACCTACCCCTGCGTTAAACCTGCCCCCAACCAATTTAGCTGGAGTACATGCTGTGTTTATTGGTCCTCATGATGCTGATTATGCTCTAATCTTCTATTCTACGCCGGGGTTCCACTGGAGGAGAAGTTGTGCCACGGTTTTTGTCAGGTACCCTGTTGCACCTCTCTATAGCAGTGTAATTATAGGCTGTGAATAGGTCAATAAACAAATAAAGTGGTTAATTGGACGGTACCGTCTTGTCTTCCTGCCCTTTCTGATCAGCTTACTGTACCTTGTTTTCCTTGGATCAGATTAGAGTCTTTTTTTAAGATTTTATTCAGATACACATAATTATTATGGCTGTTGATTAATTGCATCAACAGAAAGTTTTCTTACAGCATATGTAGTCTTTTAGTTCTGAACTCCACCGGATCCACTTTTCTTTAGATTAAAATTACTTCCTTCCCAAATGACATGCTCTGCTCCCTTTTTATGTGGAGATGGTGCTGTATGCTGCAGAAAAGCAGCGCATCTAGGATGTTCAGACATGGACCGCAGTGCACAGAGTGGAACAGCTCTAACTGACTGGAATGGCTGTGGTCAGCTGCAAAGGCGCACATGCACCTTACTTGAAACATGTACATGTTACTTTTATAGTACACTGCACTTTGAAGTTATTGGCTACTTTCCACAACTAAAATTGAGGAACAGCAACATTTTGAGGTTCCGGTGGCGGCACATTCCCAGGGATCTGACCTGCAGAAATAACAAGTATAAATGTGCAGTTTACTGTCAAACGTGCCATGTACATGTTTCAGGTAACGTTTATGTGAGTTATTTTCCAGTAACAACTGGGCCTTCATTCATTTTAATGAGGTTCTTCTAGAGTAAAGAGATCTGAACAGAAATGCACTCCATACTTTTCAGAGTTTTGCCTCAGTTTTTTTCATTATTTGTTCAGTGATGATTTTGGCTGTTATGCTAAATGTTAAAATGTTAAAAGCTTATTGAAATGAATCCAAACCACTTTTGTTTTTGTTTTTTTTGCTGTAAACCACATCACGCTTTGGCATCAATAGAATCATGCTGGACTGCTTATAAACCCGACCTTAACGACAGCCCTCTGAGTGTAGCTGTGTTCTCCTCTGCTCTGTAGTTTTACTCCTTCTTGAGCCTTAGCTTTTGTTTCAGCACACTGCTTTGAACCAGCAGTGGAGTTCATGGCGACTGCTGCCCCTAAAGTATAATCTGTTAGTGTTCCTGACTGCAGCCTGTTGTGAGCAGCTTTGTTCGACACAACTCTTCTCTTCTCATACATCTGTTTTCACCTCTGTAGATTGCCGCTCACCCCTCCTGTCCTCTCTTCCTGGTGATTTTCCTCTCATCTCCACCATTCTGCCCCTCCCCAGCCCTCATCTGCACTTCAGACCCACAGTTTTATAATCAACTTAGCTGTGTAGTTGATTAGATCAGTTGCGAGTGCTGCTGAGATCCTTCGCCCCTCGCTGCCTTAACTAAATTTGTTTGGTGATAACCTTTGTCTTCAAGTGTTCAATCAAGAGATTAGCAATTGGCCAAGAGTTTATCTGCTTTGAACTAAACAGAACGTTTAGTCGAGGGGAGGGACGCTGCCCTTTCTGGTCAGTTTATAACTTTGGGAATAAAAAACGGATAGATGAAGAGAGAGGGACCAGGTATGCAGGACATTTTGAAAAGAAAATCAGTAATTGATGCAGATTAATTGGGATTGGGAATTTGGCTGGTTA